TTTTTTTATTTAGTTTTTTTGAATCTACAAATAAAATATTTGAATATTTTTACTTTCTTCACTTTTCTTATTTGTGATAATAAATGGTATCCTCTTTAAACTTAAGATAACTACCAAAGATGAGCTTTTGTGATGGCCCATTCTCCATCGTCCGTGCGTCAACAATATCTTTAAAACAACTTCTCCTAAAGCTCTGGCCAAATTTGTTGAAACTTTGCAGGGATATTCCTTGCATTAAGCTCTACCAAAGTTGTTCAAAGAAGTTAAATTCAATAAAGAACTCTGGTTGCAATGGCAACCGAAATACTTTTTACAAATATCTTTCAAAATCTTCTTGTAAAAAAAAACCAAAAGAGCTTGCAAGAGCCTAGATATTTGGCCTGACACATCTTTTGGTGGATGACAACCAATTTTGTTCAAATAAAAGCACTAGGGTCAAAATTGGCCCCGCCCGGGGGTCATTGATTTTCCTTATATGTATATAGTAAAAACTTCAAATCTTCTTGTCCAAAAGAGATAGAGCTATTCAAAATTACACAATTATTGTGTTTAAATGTTGAATTCTGCGTAAGCCTGTGCTAGAGGGCGTTGACGGTAACTTGCACTTTTAAGTACCGTCCATGAACAGGCTCAATCAAACCGACCCTGCAACATTTTACATTTTTGCCGTGTTGGGCTTTCTTTATGGATTCTGTTTTCTCTATTTTTTAGATATTTGGCATGAAACATCTTCTAGTGGGGTGTCTACCAAGTTTGTTCAAATTAGAGCCCTTGGGGTTTAAATTTGCCCCGCCCCTGTGGTCAATAATTTTCCTTATATGAGCAAAAACATAAAACCTTCTTTAAAAAAATCAGAGCTAGAGTTTAGATACTAAGCATGAAATATCCTCTTGTGAGTGTCTACAAATTTTGTTCAAATAAAAGCCCTGGGGTCAAAATTGGTCCCGCTTTGGGTGGGGGTCATTGTTTTTCCCTATCATTGGTTTTCACTGTATGTGTATAGTAAAAATCTTCTTTTAAAAACCCAAAAGATCTACAGCTTAGATATTTATAATGAAACATCTTCTAATAGGTGTCTACCAAGTCTGTTCAAATAAAAGCCCTTGGGTTAAAATAGGCCACGCCCCGGGGGCCTATATACAGGTGAGCGATTTCAGGGCCATCATGGCCCTCTTGTCTGGTTTTGTCCTTTGATATGAATTAAATTTCATTGTGAGCAGTGGATGGTGTTCCTTTTGTTTGTAAGAGAATTCTAGAATCTGTGATTCTTGTGTTCACTTAATTTTAGAAATATTAATTGTAATTTTGATAATTTGATATGTAAAAAGCATTTCTATGGGAGTCAAAAGAAAACGTGTTAATTTTTTCTTGTATAAATCTGCAATACACACATTGTATGGCTTGCTATTGTGTAGAGACTCTGAAAAAATGAGTTTTTATTGTCGTGAATTAGTCTTTATCTTTGGAATTACTAAATTAATATTGGGTTGTATAAGAAAACTATTCAAAATGTTCTGTGTTTTTTATTTTTATTTATTATATACTTATAAATGAAATATTGAGAAATATTGATAAAATAAAATGCGTATTTTGATTTTCCGTATTTTCACTGTAAAAATTTATTTTTCACTGCAGTGAAACATATTTTCCGTATTTTCACTGGTGTCTTGCCGGACTACTTTCTTTTAAATTCTGCCAGTACACAAAATTTAAGGGAAAGTCTTTCAAATTTTATCGCAGAAAAGTGAAAAATGTATATAATAAACAGAAAATTCAAGTTTTTTCTATAATTACATGATTTATTTTCATCTTGTGGCATGAAAATTACCATATTTCACTCGTGGCTACCGCCACTCATGAAATATTTATTTTCATACCACTCGATGAAAATAAATCATGTATTTATAGAAAAACTTGAATATCCTCTATGTATTCATAAAAAAGAAATCAGGCTGTTGTTTATATTCTTCTAATTGGCCAATCATTTGTTTTTCTGTAAGTCAATTTTTTAAAAATGATATCCAACAATATATTATTCTTTTCACATTTACCTGTTAATATCCACGATGCAAGTCTGAAATCAAGGGCATGTAAGTCTGCCAAGAATCTGTTTTGCATATTTATGCCCTTATGTTTCTTCCATACTCTCCAGCTTTCAGAAAAGAGAAGAGTGCTGTCCTCAGATAGCTTGTATTTCTTTATTTGAGTGATTCTACATGTAGTATGTTTCTATTTGGGTCTACATATAGTATGTTTCTGTTTTAGAACTTAGAAGGTGACGACCATAAATCAATAAGACCAGAGTTGCTGTATGTACGTGGGAGAATGTTTAAACAAAAAATAAACATTCATCAAGTACAGGTTAGCTAACTAGTTGTTCAATTTATAATTTTTATAAGTAAAGTAAGTGCTTCTTTCATGATTTTAACTTTAACTAAGAACAAAATTGATTTCAAACGAATATTGTGCCTTTTGCACAAACTCATATTCATTATTGTCTTGTGGAATAAAACATGTGATTCCAATGGTCGTTGATTTTATTTTGGTGACTGCTTTTGGCTGAAATGATATATGGTCTGTCTCAACCATTATTCTTGGATAGTCGTCATGCAATCTTACAGTGTCCAATCAATGGTCAATTGGAGTATTTCATTTGATAAATAGTTTTATTATTTTGTTAATGTATTAATGTTTTCAAATAAGTTAAGTGTTGGAAATAGCTACCGGTCACAATTGAAGGTAATATTAAATGTAACATACTGTAAAGTTATCTCAGTCATTCATTTGCTCAAGTTTATTCACACTATAAACTGTTCCATTACGATCAACTCGTCATTTAAAGAGATATGCTAATTTTTTCCAGCAAATTTTCATTTCACGGAGAGTTGACTGACTGTGATTATATTTAAGTAAGATCAGGACACAGATTAAGTTTGATTTTCTTATCAATCAGCTAATTGCAACCTTGGTTTAATTGACATGTTTTTAATGAAAATGAAATAAAGTCATAATGCGCAATTATATTCTATTACTTATGCTATCTTTGGACCTAGAAAAAAAGGAATGTACATTGTATATTTGTCTTTTACATTTACAGACACATTATGTGACAAAGAAACAAAGTTTTTCCTTCTTTAGACAGAATAAGCATGAGCTATATAATGTTTAAATGATGGTTTTAGAGCATGTTAGTGTGAATGAATAAGTACAGCATATTGATTAAATGATTAATCATAAAAGTAACAAAAATGTAAAGAAAGTACATGTAGTATTTTGACTTCCATGCAAAAAACTAAATCAGGAAGTCAAAATACTAAATCAACTTTTTTGAAACGTTTACAGGACACTAAAATTTTTGAGAAATAAAAATAAAAGCAATTGTAAGGCAAAATTGGTCTTCAGTGGAAAAGTCGTAATTTGAAACATTTACAAAATAAATTTTCAATTTTACTTTAATGTATATTTCTGTGTCCATGATATTTTTTGTAAATGCCTTCAGACGTATCATAATCATTGTATCGCAATATGTATCGCAATTTATCGCGATACGGATTTCACGGTATCGTTACAACCCTACTTTTTGAAACAACTCGCATGAAGATGGTTTAAAGCTTTAAAAATAATGAAAGCTTTGTTGAATGTTTTATTTGTTTAAAGGAACATAAATATTTATTTTGTAATAACATATATTTATTCATCTATTTTTGATACAACCATAAATATTTTTGTATTAAATGTGATATGCAAAATACGTAACATGTAAAGATTGATATCCAACGAAGAAATATGAAATATGACGAAAATGTCATTTCGTTGACTAACCTTACTATCTTAGTCTGCATTTAAAACATACATTACATCCAGTCGTGTGCATTTCACCAACTTATTAAGTTGGTGAATGAAAACAAACATGCCGCAATGCAAACTTAAGATTCCTTACTTTCAGGAACTGTTTATTTACATTTTTGTCGAAAATGAAGACGTCAAACCCCCGTCGATAATATGGATTGTTCCAGACACCATTGAAGACATGTCACTTAGAAAATACAAAATCGGTGCGGCTATTTCCTCTTCCTCTGGGATGCGAGGCATTGGCGTTCGTTCTAAAAATAACTTTTCGATCGGATGACCTTGCGCAATAAAATTTTTTGATGCCTCTGTCATGACCAAAGTCGGATTCACGGAGTTCACGCGAATGTTGTGCGGTCCTAGTTCCAATGCAAATTGTTTCGTCACCATGTCCATACCAGCTTTTGACACTGTATATGCCAGATAGCCTGGAGCTGCTTGCAATGCAAATATGCTTGATACGTTAACGATGGACCCAGGCCTTCCATCTGCTATCATTTTCTTTGCAACGATTTGAGTTGCATTTATACTCCCAAACAGATTCACCGCAAAGATTTTCTGAAGATATTTATTGGAAACCTCAAGAGAGGAAAGCGTTGCTTCATCCGAAAAAGCGGCATTGTTAACAAGCCCATCCAGTGTCTCAATCTTTTCAATCTTCTCTTTCAGTTCATCCCAGTTACCAACATCCGCCTGAATGATTTCAACGTTTGGACATTCAGCCGCTAATGAATCCAATGGTCCTTTTGAACGACTTAAAGCATACACTTTACATCCTTGTTCACATAGTGCTTTTGTTACTGCCCGGCCTATACCACGACCAGCACCGGTCACAAGGAATTTTTTCCCGGATAAATTGAGAGACATTTTATTCTTTTTTAGAGCTAGGATACAAACTAATTCGTAAATTGTGTTTCTCCTACAAGCTATTAATCCACCAGTGCTGTGTTACGAGCAATGTGGGGAAAATTCTCTGAGACAATTCTCTGCAGCCGAAATCGATTTTGATTCAGGGAGGGTTTCTTCTTGGAAGACGTTCCGTCAAGATTTGTTCCAATATTTTTTCTCCCGAGCCTGACATCACATTGATGCGCCACGAGTATATTTATAGCTTACAGTCTCGCTGTAAGATTGACAGCAACTGCCTCTATATATACAGGGTGCCGTGTGACTTTTAGACCAAAATGAGATTTAAAATATATTGCACTATAGATGTGCTATTTCATTTCTTTCAATTTGATGAACTATAAAATATATTTGTCCGTTTACTTACCACGATACTCGTAACGCCCATATAATGCACAGATTGGCCGTTGTTACAGCAAAATTTCTGTTATTTTTACATTTCTTCAGTCTACGATTCTCTTAATTGTAATTAAAGCAGGTCCGACGATTTTGCGGGTACCCGGAAAATGTTTCGTTCTAGCATGCTCCTACAAGCGTTTTCCGGTGTATTTGGCACAGTTCAGAGTCTGCACAACTATACTGCATGCTATTTAGCTATTTGTCAATAATGTTTTTAAAAGATCGGTGCATCAAAGGACGTTGTTTATTTACAATCTAAGTCTGTGTTAAAGAATGAAAGGTTGTAACTACAGATCGCATTACCGAAGGGCAGTTGTACATAAAATATTAATATTTGACAAAAAGAAACATGTAGATTGTGTTTTTAATATAAATCACACAATGAATAATTTAAGCTAATCAATGATCGCTGCGATAAAAAAATATAAACAACAAACAAAAAAACATTACAAAACAACAACAAAAAAAACATATCGCCGTCGTTTTCTTGTGGTAATGAACGCGGACACGCAACTTGAGAAAAACTGCCCCTGTATTATTTGGGGTCCCGTTCCCCGAGTTCCTTTTAAAAATTATATTGATCAAAAGTATTTGAAGTATTGTCGATCGCAGGTAGTTCTACTTAACGCTGAGAATGTCCTTTCACCAGCATCACTAATAATATATCTTTAATATACTGAAGTTAATAAATGGAAATTAAGATAACTTCACACTTTTACCGGCCGGCCTTGTAAAGCTGTGCTTCAAACAAAACAGAGTGTTTTATCGCAGCTGCTACTTCCATCATAAATAAAGTAACAAAGGGCTTCCTCCACTTGTAATAAATGCTAGAAATTTCGGTACCAGATCCATAATTTTAAGACCAATTTTGATGCTTTCAAATGTCTATATATGGCACTAGGTTCAAGTCTTTTGAATATATAATTTGAAGTCTTCAGGTATGACTAACTAATTTCACGGTAATGACGAATTTATATGTGATTGGTGGTGCATTTGTCAAAGATGATATGAGCCGCGTCATGACAAAACCAACATAGTGCGTTTGCTATCAGTTTCTCTACTTGTAATTGGGTTTGTAAGCGAACAGCATTGGTCCTGATCAGACTGGATCCATGCTGGTCGCAAACGCATTATGTTGGTTTTGTCATTGCGCGGCCCAATTATAGATTATGGTTTTCGTACATACACGCACAGGCACGCACGCACACTTGCACACACAAATGACGATTTTGTCAAAAATATGACATATCTGTAATAGGCTCGATGAAACAGATCATTTTACTCATTTCTGCAAAAAAAGGTCTTGAAAGCCAATTAAGATAAAAATATGTGTTCCTGAAACAGTCGTAACTTTTTAATTTTGTTTGTCTTCCGACTTAGAGCTGTTAAATGCCATACATTATAAATTTAACATAAAAAATAAAGATGAAACACTTTCACGAATTAAGTTTTCTAAATGGCCGACTCTAGACTAGGCTTTATATCTTTACCTCTGTTTATCTTTACCTAATTAATATATATATAGTTAGATAAATCTATTCATGTCTAAATTCGTATTTTTGAAGAAAATGAGTAGAAAGAAAGAAAGAGAAAAAATATTTGCTAAAGTTTATTTATAATTTACCACTGGCTAAGGGGAGAACTAAAGTTCAGGACCAATTCAAACAAAAGCTGCCGGTCCAAACCGAATCAAAGTGTGACGCCAACGCCTGGTTAATAATAATAATAGTTCTCAATATTCTTCGAATAGTCGAGCTAAAAACGTACTTCTTTGTGTTATGTCAATTCTTCTCACGGATAGTTTTTCTGTACAATTCTTCAATCAATTATTTATAAGAATTTTGTTATTCCAGACAAGATCACACCCTATTTTTCTCTAGAAAATTCCCGGCTTAATTATTGTTTTTATTAGACTTGGCTGACATTCTCTCCGGCGTATTTTCATCAAGAACATTTCCCCGCTTGTATTTTGATATGTAGAACTGTACGCGGGAACAAAATTTCAGTAAAAATCAAATGAGCTATATCCTTATCAAAATGATACTGAAATTTCAGTATCATGCCACATCATACATTTAAATCACGACCTTCTCAAAAAAGGATAAACATGTATATATCTTTTGAAGATTTACTAGTTTGCATTTACATTTTATTGCGCTAAAATGATGACAGTTCTCGTGTAGATCTCATCCCGCATCCATTTGAGCCGCGTCATGACAAAACCGACATAATGGGTTTGCGACCAGCATGACTCCAGATCAGCCTGTGCATCCGCGCAGTCTGATCAGGATCCATGTTGTTTGCTATCAGTTTCTCTAGTTGTTATAGGGTTTGTAAGCGAACAGCATGGATCCTGGTCTGGATCCATACTGGTCGCAAACCCATTATGTTGGTTTTGTCGTGACGCGGCTCATTCAACCTTGTGTAATGATCAGTCTCCGAGTTTAGCCATTTTGTCTGGACATGCAACCAGCTCAACAAGTATCCTTGAAAGACAAACGTTAATGTTATAAAGTATGAAAAAGAAAAAAATGAACAAAAAAATCATGAAAGGGAAAGCAGCATAGATCTAAAATAGTAAAGATTACAAAATTAAATGGATTACAAAAGTTTCAAGATTACAAAAGTTTCAAGATTACAAAAGTTTCAAGATTACAAAAGTAAAATATTACAAAAGTAAAATATTACAAAAGTAAAATTGTTACAAACGTGAAAAGATTACAAAGGTAAAAAGATGTTACAACCCTCAAAATATTATTAAAAGTCAATTTCCAAATTTTAGTATTCTTCTCTAGAATAATATGAAACTATTACACTATTTTCATTATACCTCTATAGTATTAGTTATACTATATAGTGTCATATTATTATTATTGTAGTTATGAATATTAACTTAATCATAATTTTGGGTTTGGTAACAGGGACTAGAGGCAGTGGGGAGGGGGCAGCGGTAGAAGATGATATAAGATCAAAGCGTCTTAATATACCTGTGGATGACAAAAGTAGAAATATTACAAAAGTATGATGATGATAATGATAGAGACGGTGATACGAATGAATGAATGAATAAATAAATGATTGAATGAATGAATGAAAAAAGTACTATATACGAACGGAAAAACAAAACTAAATGGTATTAGGGTCAGTGTAAATATATTGGATGAACACTATTAATGAGTTTGACGATCTAATGATGGACAAACAATCTGAGGGATATTTTCAACACTCATATATACCTTTTTCCTGGCAATCTCGTTGTTTCTTTCAACACTGTAAACAAGCTGGTGTAATATTTATCAAAATTCGCTTCATCATTGAATATATACATTGAGTTGAGTTGACAGATCATTGCAGGGTCTTTTGAACTAGCACAAAATGAACGCATATCGGTATGTGTAGTCACAAAACAAAACTGAAAACAAAAACAAAAACAAAAAACTATTGTTAAAAGTGGTTTCACCGGAAACGTAATGACCGATATGAATGTCAAAGTTTTCCGCTTAAAAATGTACATCATGATCACCCTTAGTCTGCTAAATTTTCTTAAATGGACTTGGCCTGCTTCAATGGAACATCTCTACTATTATTCTTAAATTCTTATCCGAAATTTGACAGAAAGGGCCGAGCAGTTACGATTGGTTCTGCTTCTATTTTGGGAATTTCCCATTATTAATTTGGGGATATCAGGATGTCAACAAGAGCTTTCGGCAGGACAGTATGAGCCTGGATAATGTAGAATTTTCTAAGTTCAAAACGGGCCATAAATCTGTCACAGTCTTAGTGTGTGTGTCATGTGTGTGTTATACACAAAATATATTTAATTATAATTCCAATTCATTAGATTCTTTTTAGTTTTGAATGACATCATAATCTCAAATAAGAATGTGAAGTTCCATATCCATTGCCTCCAGTAGTTTTGGAGATACCAAATTGCATGCAAAAAGTCTGACGCCGACGTTGACGCCTGGGTGACGTGAGTACAATAGCTAAAAAATCAAATTAGTCCGCCGACATAACTTAAATCAACCATGTATAGGTGGAACATATTGTCGTAAATTCGAAAGAAATATAGTGTATATCTTTATTTACAGAAAAGCAAAATAACCACTACTATCCAAAAACACTCACCTCAAGTGGAAATTGGGCAGTTTCAGCGATACACTTCGCTACTCGCTCTTCAAAATCATCACTTAAATCACCTCGCTTCATATTAGTATAAACAAGAAAAGCATTGATGCAAAGCATCAAAGGGCGTCCAAGCAAGAAATGCAGCAAGTGAAGATGAACTAGTACACATATGATGACAAGATATTCTTATAAACTACCAGAAATGTATATCACTTATGAATGAGCGAACGAAAGACATTGTTCATAATGAACTTTGATTGGCATGCTAGAGATTAGAATATTACTTGTTATTTCTTTATGATCGTGGTTATTAATAACAACGGATATGTGTATTTTGCGTTTATTTATACTCGCCACCGGTTGCCCATATGGGCGAGCCCTCCGGAAGAGTATTAGTCATTTTATTTTTCGGAGGATAGTGCAATTACAGATACAGAAAGATGCCCCAATTCCAGAAGCTTCTCCTGGTTCTTTAGCGTGCCAAGTGTTTAAGCACCCATACACGGGACCTCGATTTAAAGTCTCATCCGAAAGACTGATTAGTAATTTAAGTTGGCCAGCCCGGGAATCGAACCCACAATGTCGAGATTACAAGTCTCGCGCTCTAACCGATTGAGCTATGCGGGCTGGCTACGCAACGGATATACATGTATGCAATCATTTATAATCCATATGTGTAACGCATGATCAACACGTACCACACATTTGTCCCTTATTATGTACATGTTATCGCTATTAGCGAAGACCCCCTTAAGGTATCTGTTCACACTTTAAGTTAGTAAAAATATGACACTGGTTATATTACCATGTTGATCATGTTGAGCATAATTGTTTATTATACAATAATTGTAATATCTATTAATTTTAATTAAAAAAAATACAAATTTTATGAATATTGTTTTCTTTTATTCTTTTTTGTGTTTTATGTGCTATTTTAATACTGAGTTTTTACTACTCTTTTTTATTAAAATTGTAAAATAAATTTTAAGAATTCAATTGTCATATTGACCGACGATTATAAGTCAAAGCTTAACTGGAAAAAGTCAGTAAATTATGGTTTATCTTTCAATATATAATATTGTTTATTCTTAAACCATGTACATTGTATTTTTCTTTATCATTTTTTTAAATTATCGATCAATTGAATAATTCATAAAATCTAATTTGTAACTTTGAATAATTCCTCGGCATCTTTACTAAACACGGATAACAAATTGAATAATTAAATAAAATGTTTCAAAGTTGATAATGTCATTTTAATACCATAAAAAATGTACCTTTTTCTCAATTATTGTACATATCACGGATTTATATTACATATAAATCCGTGTACATATTTATTGTTTTTATCTCATATAGATAAAATGAAACATGCTATTGTTTTTTTTTCTAATTGTAACGATATCAAACATCTACTCCAAAACCGGGAGAGACCGGACAATAAACGTGTGGTACTATTCGCCGGTCACTAGTAAATCCTGGTCAAAATAGACCGGGAGAGACCGGCATTTACCGATAGGAGTGATAAAAAGATATATCTATAAATAGGTTTTTGGAATATTTAGGTCATCAACTGATCATTCTAGGATACATGTACAACAATAACATACCATGACATGATAACCGACTGTGTACTACAAAATGATAAATAAAAAACCCCGAAGAGCGCGATTTATTGACGGAAAAGGTTATTTCATTTGTAAAATGTTTGCATTGCGAAAATTCATTGTAACATATCGCGACATTTCATTCTTATTTAATAATCAAGCACCCTCATACCGATCGGAATTTTCGGCTTTTATTATGACCGACTAAAAGGCTCGAGAAGTTGCTGTCGCCCTTTCACAAAATCTGATCTCATTCCATAAGAGCGCCGCGCTTCGGCGCGGACGCCAATCAAACAAAGAGGCATTCTGGTGTAGTTTTTTCTCTCCTCTTTCTTGCACAAAATAACTATCAATCTCAATTGAACGGTTAATATGACAGTATAGTAATCTTGGGTCAAAAGTGTTATGACCGTGACAATCATAGATCGTAGGATATTATATCAGGGCAAAAGATAATCAGTTACGTATAACAATGAACGTTTAGGCCTATTGGCCAGTGTTGATCTTTATTTAAATTTATTGTTGGTTTTAAGACGAGTTTATACGAAGTGATTCTTTTTTTAATTTTCTAATTATGTTCCATTTAAGGTACTCTATCTAGCATTAAAACTAATAAATATATGGACAACTTAGCTTCGTCCCTCTTCGAATATTTTTACTACAATAACTAATTACCTTACGACAGGACAAAAGATTATCAATTACGTATATACGTAATTGAACTTTATAAATTACTTTCATTTATATTGCACGAGTTTCTGCTTTTAATTACAAACTAATCAATTAGGCCCTTTTCGTATCTAATGTGTATTTCATTTCTAAAGTGGCGAATGGAATCACATCGTTGCTTACCCTTGAAGCTGCAGAATTTTACAAGCTTTAGATTCGTGTTTGTACCCTGAGCATTAAATCATTAATACATAAGAAAATTCTGGGAATATTGTGTGCATATATTGATTTTGATTTATTCCCAGAGTTTGAAGATAAATAGTAAGCTAGAAATATATCTACATGACACTTATGCCCGTCACAGTGAAATACATATATGTACATACTTTTGTATGTTTTACAACGGTCAAGTGTTAAAACATTATATAATAATAAAAGTAGTATAAACTTTCACAAACCTAATATGACTGATAAAACTCGTGTTCTTGTTTAACAAGTCTGTCATGCGTCACTGCATGTGAACTGAACGTACCTTATTACATATGTACCTTAAAAATCAAAAGGGGTTATCTTTCTCAACTTGAAAAACTAAAGGTTGTAGATCAAATCAATTTCTATTTATTGGTCAGACGATCTTCCAGTTAACAAGGTCATGGTGTCCTTGATCTTGGATGTCAATATCAATAGGTGTCATCTTCTGGTCATGACCAACCTCGTCTTCAAGTCTAAGGACTGTAGGCCAAAACATTTTCTAGTTATTGGTCGAGTAAAGACCACATTGAGTGTGACTATTGACCGTCTGACTTACAAGGCCATGGTGTCCTTTACCTTTGACATCAAAATCTACCAACCTCCACACTAAATGCCAAAGCGTTCTCTTGATTGGGAATAGCCTCAGGGACCTGCTAGACATCCGACCTAGTGGCCTAAAAATCAATATAATGTATAGGCTATCTACTACATAATGCCTCACTAACTAATGTCTGGACTGTATCGTTTTGTCAATGTCATGTTTACTTCGACAGTACATCTGTTTTCATTTTATTATATTTGAGTTCTGACATTAATTAGCGATCGGCCCTCCCCAAGTACGTCCAGTAGTTATGATGACAAATTTTCACACCAAATCTAAGGACTTTTGGCCACGCTTAAAAATTTACTGACGTAAAAAACACCGTAAGTGAGACACGATTGAAGTGGTCAGGTCAAGTCAATGTCTTGAACATGGTGACCTTTGACCTTTTGACCTTGAAATCAATAAAGGTCATTACTAGAAATGGCCGACTTCCACACTAAATATGTAGACCGGATTTTTTAGAATAGAAGCAATTAATTAGTGTTTATTTTGCTCTTTTTTATTAGTAAATACAAAGTAATAAAAAGATTGTAATAAGGACATTTTAAGATAAAGAGTTATTGAGTCTGTTTATCTCAATTTAAATTTTACTTCAAGTCGTTGGTGCTTCTTTTCATGATGAATACTATATTAACATTTAAAGGAATATTGCAGCAAATTATTTATAGATTTGATAACTTACTTTTTCACACAAAAAATAATTACATGGAATTTACATGCAGCTTTCCTTTATGAGAAAAATTGATGACTTTTTTTTATCAAAATCAAAAGTACTGCCTAGTAATGCAGTAGCAGTACCAATTTTTAAGACAGTAATGCAGTACCAGTAGTGGCAAAATTTTGTAAGAGTAATTCAGTATCAGTACCAGTACTTGCAAAATAGCTGCAGTACATACTGCAGTACCAGTACCAGTAATGCAGCTCTGGAACGACCAATCACAACTGCTCCCATTTTTATGTAGGAATGTAAAATTAAAACAGTAATCTTCTAAGTCATAATTAGTAGCTGCCAATCATGTATATATGTCTTTTTATCACCGAAAAAATCCAGAACAGCAGATACTATAAAAGCTCACATGAAACCAGATTAATCACGGTTCACCATAATCAGCGAGTGATTCCGAATGTTGGTTCTACAGTATCAAATCGGATCACCTCGACTACTATTCATAATAATCTCCGACTTAACGCGGATTGAAATTAGTTCTACCGCGTGATGTGACATCCAAAGGAAAATAACGTCTATTTCTGTTAATTATGATTGAAAATATGTCTGACAATCACATTCAATAAAAAATATGTCCACTGATGTATAATCATATCAACAAGTATATTTTTGTACTTCAAATTTCTACAACCATTAATAAGTATTTGAAAAATGCGCGTTTTACTTTTTTATGGGGCGTCCGTGGCCGAGTGGTTAAGGTCGTTGACTTCAAACCACTTGCCCCTCGATCACCGCTGTGGGTTCGAATCCCTGTCCGAATCCCGACAGGGACTTTGGATTCTTTCATGTAAGGAAGCTTTCCAGCTAGCTTACGGAACGTCGGTGGTTCTTCTCAGGTGCCCGTTCGTGCCTGAAATAATGCACGGAAGGGCACCTGAGGTCTTCCTCCACCAGTAAAGCTGGAACGTCGCGATATGACCTATACTGTGTCGATGTGACGTAAAACCCAAAACAAAACAAAAAACTTTTTTATCTAATTTTATATAAAGTGACAAATGATCATTGAAGTGTAAATTTTTGGTGGGTCTAAGTCAAAATAACTAAGTATTTTTCAAAAATGATTCTCAAGTCATGGATCGGAGCTTTTATATAGTACATTTATTATATATTATATCTATATAAAAGTCTTCTTGTATTCATAGTTTGGAGACCTTTCTGTTGAAAATGTGTCAGGGTTAAATCGTTTACATATACATGCACAGTGCGTTAACTGGAGTGCGGGTATTAGTTATCCAGAGTGCGTCCAGAGCATGCCCATTGATTGGCTCATTTTTGCTGGGGTTTACATATTTTGACGGCAGAGAAAGGGAAAGCGACAGAAATGTCATATTCAGATGCTTGTTCATTGGTTCATTTTTGCCGGGGTTTCATATTGTGACAACAGGGAACGCGCTTTTATGTTTGACTATGATACAAAAGAGAAAGAACACCAAAACACACGGCAATCTGATTAATACTCGGGGGCTACGCCCCCTCGTACAAATCAGATAGCCTCGTGTTTCGGTGCTCTTTCTATTACTTACCTTTTATTTGTGTAACATCATAGATTACAGTTACATAAACATAAATATGAATATGTAATCATATAAATTAACGGTTTAACAGATTAAAAATAACATTTCTTAAAATCAATATAATTGATTTAAATTATGGACTGTAATATAAGTTAAGACATACAATATAGGTTAAAATTATTAAAAATCACAGATAAGATTATGATGACTACAAAAGGGCAGAAACATACATGATAACTATGAGCACAAGACATTGCTTTGAATTACTGGCATTTTATATTCTTGTCTATAGAATTAACATATGTGTTAAAATATTATAAAGGAAGATCAAAAAAATACTAGCCAAAGAGACTTCATGCAGCGAACAGGTTTTTATAGTACTGCTAGACGCACAACGTCAAAATAAAAGCGACATATAAAGTTATGGAAGCCAGAACTAAAAAATACCAGTATTAAAAATATTAGTAGTTATAAAGGTTAAAAAAGATGAAATAATACAATGATTTTGCTTCAAGTGATCCATGGTTACAAGGATAGCCTGGACATTAAGCTAAAAAGCTTATTTCTAAAGCTTATTTCCAATAGGGTCCCCTCTGGTATAGTCATACCAACTTGAGTCATGGAAATTCTCAAAATTTAATATCCTTTAACTTTCAATTGATAAAAAATGAGAAGATTTAATGACGTTTTTTTACAGCCGTGCTTTAAATTTATTTTGGCACAAACTTTATAGAAATTTTTTTAGGTGATCCTTTAATTACTACATATACTCCCGTGTTTACAAAAATAAAAATTGTGATAATCCGTTAGCTTGAATCAAAGGGAGATCACTGCGTACGAGTTGATCCGTAGGTTAAAGGAAAGAAAAAAATTATTCTGGTCCGAAATGTCCCAAAATATGGTCCGAAGTGTCCCAAAAATCTGGTCCGAAATGTCTGGTCCGAAATATTCATGGTCCGAAATGTCCTATTACCACGGAAAGGACCGAGAAGTTGCGATTGGTATGTCCTAGATTTTAAACTTCCGCTTCCGTGTTGATTTAGATAACAACAACAACTTTTACTTTTATGGACTAATTTCACGTGATCTTATCGATATTTAGCTTAAATGAAAAAGTACGGGTATTGAAATTTAGAAATTTTAGTAAAGTAACCTATAATGTTTTCTCTCTTACCGCTGATGATTCTGTCATCTTCGCATACCTGATGAACCGATGAATGAACACTCTGCTCTGCTTAGTAATCCAAATATTTACCAGTTTTACATGTACACGTAAACCGCGGATTTGAAGCTACATGTAGTTAAGTTATGTATGATGCACAAAATACAAACGTAGTTTCTAATAGCAAGAATTTTGGAGAAAAATATTGTTTAAATTTGTTGAAAAATAAACCGCTGTGCATTTTTGTTGAATTTAAACAAGAGAGCAAAAATGCAGGTGTTTTTGTAAGAGCACCTATTGTGTACCAAAATGTGTTTCTGGGCACAATAAAACAGTGTTCAATAGTGTCACGGTATAGCAACCCTAACAGCAAAGTCTTTCCACCAGTGGGATATATCTCCTTTTATGAGATTAGAAGTTCTTTTTTCATACATGATATATTTTTAAGTACCACATGATGGTAGGAGACAATATCAGGATCATGCAGCCGCATGCATGAGCTCACTGTTTCTTGTTGTCTTTCTGTTGTTTTGATTGTATAAAGACTGGCTTGAGTAATGTTATAATATTTTCGCTAGATACAGGAGCTAGAATAATTAACAAGGTATACATGTATGCACAGCTAGCCACTTTGATAAATAAATGAATTATATTCAATCTTATTTTTCTTTTAAGAGCTGCGACACAGAGTGAAAATGATGTCACTCGCTGGGATTAACTTTGCATAAAAACAGAAAATGGCCTCGGCAAGTTTTGTGTCATCATGTTGTCTTGGTAACAAGTCTGTCATCATTGACAGTGATATCCCAGCAGGACATGCTCTTCTAGAGGAGAAAGTTGTTAGTATTATCACCTTGATTGTCTCGATTGCCAGTTTTCTTGGAACATTTGCTCTTGTGATACCATGTCGGGCTGGTCAGGTGTCAGCACCTAGTCGGCAGAACAACTTTGTCCAGAGCTCTGGTGTTAGCCATGTAACAAAATGTCTCCTAACAGCAGGATTTCTTGCTAATCTTGGTAAAGAACATGTTTTTATCTTATCTGTTGATCATCACTTACCTTAGATAATCTAGATAATATACAATTTCTTTAAAAAAAATTCTTCCTTAGTCACTTTCATGTGAAATTCAATAAGTGACTACAACTATTTTTACTGTTTTCTTGACAATTCATTTTTCTGTGTTACAAATCAGCCAATAAAACTAGTAACATTTTACATTGTAAATGTGTAGCAATACTTGTATATAGTTAAATACCATTTTGAGATGCCACTGAGCAGCAAAATCATTCTTATCACTTAAAATGTATGCCAGTATTGAAAATGATAAAGAATTAAAACACATCTAGTTCTATTATTAAAATGTTTTACATTTGTATAAAGTTTCCAAGCCAAGATAATTATGCCATGCAGTCATGTAATGTTGAAAAACATGATGAATGATGATGATGATGATAATGATGATATGTTGAAAATTGTAAAAGATTTGGTACACACTCATTAGTACATACAAGCATTGCATTGCATAACTTCATATAAATAAAGGACTGATTAAATTTAATTGAATTGACCCTTCATTCAGCAGCCATCTGTTTTAAGCAACCAAATGACTGTATCCCCTTGACTGGCTGCAGAATGCAGGTTTTCCTGTTTATTTTCAGAGCTGTAAATTATGCCTTTTAATTTCTTTTTAACTTGTCATAGGTATCAATGTTGGAGTTATAGCATAACGGTTAATTATATTGTTATTTCAGGACTGATAGTGAGATCCAGTGTTTGGCTAGGTAAATACTATCCACAACCAAATGATGGCAACTATTTTGATGGTAGACACATATTCTGTATCTTATCAACAGTAAGTTTTGTATATATTCATTTTTTTAAAGCAATTTAGGAAATGTAGTATACTTGTAGATAATTTAGTTTCAAAGGTAAAAAAGAAAGAGTTAAAAATGCTTTTATGTTGCATGGGGAAAATAAGATGGTAGTTAAGTTACATTCTTACATGGGAAAAGTAATTGAAAAATGACATTTCTGAGAAAGTTGTAGTGACATTCCTTTAGCAATGGAAAAAGTAATTGAATAATTAATGATATTTCTTAGAATGATAGGAAAAGGGAAAGAGTAGTGACATTTCTGTTGCAATGGGAAAAGAAATTGAATAATGACATTTCTGCTGTATGTGAAATAGAATAGAGTAAGGACAATTCTGTTGCAATGGGAAAAGTAATTGAATTATTGCATTCCTGTTGCAATGGGAAAAGAAATTGAATAATGACATTTCTGAGAATGGAGTAGTAACATTCCTGTTGCAATGGGAAAATAAATTGATTAAAGACATGTCTTAGAAAAGAGTAGTGACATTCCTGTTGCAATGGGAAAAGAAATTGAATAAAGACATTTCTTAGAATAGAGTAGTGACATTCCTGTTGCAATGGGAAAAGTAATTGAATAATGACATTTCTGTTGTATGTGAAATAGAATAATGTAGTGACATCCTGTTGCAGTAGGAACTTTCATAGGGTAATGACATTTCTGTTGCATGGGGAAAGAGGATTAGAATAGTTACTGTCCTGTTGCCTGTGAGAAAGTAATAGAGTAATAACATTCCTGTTGAATCGGGAAAAATTATATAGAGTGAAAACGTTTTGCATGCATCAAGCTAGGAATAGTGGAATTTTCAGAAAAAATATCTCAAGGTCTTTCTTAAGATGAGCCTCATGCAGTATATGGTACATTGAATCTAAAAGTAGCAAAATAAGATACACATGTACAATGTACATGTTTTCTACATTAAATGAATTGCCGCTAAAAGATCTACTAGTATTCCTAAATAAAACTCAAGAATTTTACATTATGGTAAATGTATTATCAAACACAATATACTTTACTATCTTCAACTGGAAATTACAAACTTTAGTCCTATTATTTCAGCTTTGGGTGCAATATTTCTTTCTGAGTGTAATATTTTGGCATTTGGTGTATGGAGTGGAGACTTTCATGACAAGCAATGGTAAAAGGAGGTAAGGACTACATGATATACATAAGAGTTAACCTGATTGATTGAAGAATGATACTATTATACCTTAAAATAGCTGGCAATGTATAAATCCCATTGGCCTATAATGTGTTCTGATACCAGTATCACATCCCACTGAGAGTTGTAGAAGGGGATCTTAAGAAAAGTGAACACTTCGGTTGACATTTTCTTTGTCAAGGGTGAACATTTTGTTATATCACCCACATTTGAAAGTGTTTTATCACCCACAGTGGTATGTGTTTTATTACCCACAGTGGCATGTATTTTATCACCCACAGTGGATTGTGTTCTATCACCCACAGTGGCATGTATTTTATCACCCACAGTGGTATACGTTTTATCACCCACAGTGGAATGTGATACAGTATAACCTCTGCCGAGTGGCCCCCCCTGTGGAGCAATTACCTTTTAAAAACAACATTGTTATTTCTTCCCATTAAAGGTAAAGATTTCTACCATATACGAGGGTTGTTCAAAAAGTAATAGGACTGCAGCTCTATTGTTCACATTTTTAAATTTACGTACAAAATTTTACATGAGACAAATATCGGAACATGTTCTCTATATACAGTGAAAAAAATCAAAACAAAATAAAAAGAAATGAAATTTCTGTGAAATTTTCAAGTGACAAGGGGTATGATACGCGGCGCACGCTAACAATACAATTATTGACGTTCATGACGTCGTAAAATGAATCGAAATTGTAATAAGCGCCATTCTTTCTGAAAGTAGTCTCCCTAGTATCTAGGTGTATGAGTCATGTAACTTTTACTTTGCCTCATATGTGGAGATGAAGCAAGAAAAAAAGCGATCACATTCTTGTTCCACTGTTTAAAAAATAAATGCCCGATAGCCGGGCATTCTCCGGGTTTTCTCAAGTTTTTGAGTAACTGTGGAACTCAATAGGACTGAAAATGTTAAAGAAAAAGCAATGTATTCTATTAATTTACTCATGTCATTGTGATTAAAACAATATGATTATATACAGAACAATAAAGATATTTCTCAATTGAAAAGTATCCTTTTCTACTTAGCACAGTCTATCGTTTATTAAAACAAGTTTTCGGGAAACACTACTAATTATTTCCGTTAACTATTACATTAATTTATTGATTACACGTATATCTAGTTAAATACAATAAAAAAGTGTTTATAACAAATGTCTTATTTACAATCCTTTGGTTAAAACTGAATAAGTAGACCCGAAGCAGATACAAACAACGATAAACAGTTCGCGTACCGTTTACCGTGGATTCTTTTGTAGCGCTTTTGCAATTGACGTCACTAACGTCCCGTCAATTTTCAACTTTCATCCTCACCCTTTCTCGTTATCGATCTTGTATTTTCAGTTTTTGAATTGCTTGTGCCAGCTGAAAACAAGTGTCCTGATGGCAGGATAATTGTCCTTTGTTTATTTAATCATTTTGTGTGTATCTGAATGATTATAGTCAATCTGTTGGCAAAATTTAACGATGGCACACATTTTCTGTTTGTTAACAAATGTCATATTTCTACATCTAACGCTATGACCGCTGCTGTTCAAAACTTAATAATTAGGCCATTTCATGTCCGAATGACGTCAAATTTGGACATAATGTCACATTAATATATTTCAACGTATTGATGGAATACAGGGGAAAACAAATAGTTATTTATGAATAAATTAGAAGTAGAACTTAGCTCCAATAACTATATTTATGTGCTGCGCCGGGTGCGTGTTACCATGGTTATTCAATAGCAAAGGAAAAGCGCGTTTAGCACAATAGATTAAAAAACTTATGTTTGATTTGTAGAAAACATTTTACGATTGCTGTACATATGAAAATATTCTTAATTGAATGAAATTTGAATACGCAAGACTCCCAGTCCTATTACTTTTAGAACAACCCTCGTAATACCTTTGTAGAGCAATACCTCATGGCAACAACCAATATATTTGTCTTCAAAGGGTGTTTAGGTTTGAATTTAACAACCTTAACTACTCTGCCATAGACTTCCAATCTATATAACTGTACATGTAAGTGTTTTTGATTCTAGTTCCTGGTATTTGCAATATTTTCTGGGATGGACAGTTCCTGCAGCTCTATGTGCACTCGCAGCTTTTCTTGCCTACAGACCATCATTAGATAAGTAAGTCGCCTCTGTCTATTAATATATTTTATGTACATGTATAATGATTTTTATGTTCACTGTTTTTATTTTTGATGGAGCATAAAGTAGCTTCCAACAATTCCGCTACTCAAAAACCTTACTAAAAAATCACTAGTTTTTAGCTCGACTATTCGAAGAATATGAGAGCTATTGTAGTCGCCCCAGCGTCGGCGTCGGCGTCAGCGTCCGCGTCGGCGTCTGCGTTGGTTAAAGTTTTTTGTAAAGTCAAATATCTCAATTATTACTTGAGATATTCAATTGAAACTTACAATACTTATTTATAGTAACAAGGTACATCAGATTGACAAGTTGGATAACTCTGCCTACAATATTGACAGAATTATGCCCCTTTTTAACTTAGAAATTTTGGTTAAAGTTTTTTGTAAAGTCAAATATCTCAATTATTGCTTGAGATATTCAATTGAAACTTACAATACTTATTTATAGTAACAAGGTACATCAGATTGACAAGTTGGATAACTCTGCCTACAATATTGACAGAATTATGCCCCTTTTTAACTTAGAAATTTTGGTTAAAGTTTTTTGTAAAGTCAAGTATCTCAATTATTGCTTGAGATATTCAATTGAAACTTACAATACTTATTTATAGTAACAAGGTACATCAGATTGACAAGTTGGATAACTCTGCCTACAATATTGACAGAATTATGCCCCTTTGTAACTTAAAAGTTTTGGTTAAAGTTTTTTTGTAAAGTGAAATATCTCAATTATTGCTTGAGATATTCAATTGAAATTTAAAATACTTTTTTATAGTAAAAATGCACACCAGTTTGCAAAATTGCATAACTCTGCCTGCAATATTTGCAGAGTTATTTGCCCCTTTGAAACTTAGAAATTTTGGTTAAAGGTCTTCAAAGATATTTACTTGAAACTTTACACATGCACTTGGGGTCATAATTGGAGGGTCATAATTGTATGTACGCTCCCTTCGTCACTGACCAAGTTCCATAACTCTGTCTTGCATTAAGGCTGATTCATATCCCCTTTTCTACTTAGTCTCTTGGTTAATGTTAACATGCAAGTTTTACATATCTCAATAACTATTAAAGATATTAATTTAAAACTTCATGTAAGCATTTAGGGTCACTGACAAAGATCCATAATTCTATCTTGCATTTAGGCTGATTTTATTCCCCTTTTTCAACTTAGAAATTCATGGTAAAGTTTTGCTTTTAAGCTGTTATCTCAATAACTACTGAAGGGTTTGTGCCTTTTTTGGGACAATTTATGCATTCATAATAATAAAGCAGTGATTTACTTGATAAAACATCTTAATAACAAGCCTTTGTACCTTTTCTGTCAAATTTATGTATTCATAGGTAATTAGTATTATTATACTCAATAAAACACCCTTGTGACATTACCTTCCAAATAGTCAAGCCAATACTGTATAATTAGACTCTCTCTAAGGCCTATAACATGAATTTATAACAAAAAATTAGCCCTTTTGTGAACTTAAAAAATTAAACAATGTAAAGGCTCTTTTACTATCAAGCACTTAGAATAGTCGAGCGTGCTGTCCTACAGACAGCTCTTGTTATTTATAGTCAAGTCCACAGGCAGTTAGCTGAACCTAGTTGTCAAAAAGTTAGTGTCTGACTGATCTTATATTGACTTTATTATCAGTTGAGGAATTTTCAAATAACTTTGGTCAAATGCACACTTTAATTTGACTATGTGCCATGTGTCAGAGGCAGAATCATAGCTCAAAAGTCAGTTAAGGCACATGGTCAAACTTAAAAATTGAAGGCTGTTTTCTTTTGTTTGGCTATAACTTTGCCGCTGAATGAGAATTTTTTTAAATAACTTATTACAAATGTGAAGCTAAATGAAGTCATACAAATTGTGTGTTGCCTGCAAGAGCCAAGAACAATGACCATAGCATAATGATTAAGGTCACAATCTTGGTCCAAAACAGTTTGTCAGTACAACTAATCCCCAATTATCTGACATTTACCTGATATGGACGTCCTTAGTTAACAACAACTTTAAGTAACCAACAATTTAAGCAACAAAAGGTGGTGGTGGTTGGTAGTTTTCAATCTGCATTATGGCAGTATGCCACATTGAATTTACCAGAGCTCATTTCAGTCACCGCAGCGTTCCTGGACAGGCTGTCAAGCAGTTTACCAGTACTAGTTGCGCTCACTTTCACAAGGAACTGATCACTTCTGTACATGCCAAAGCAGTGTTACAGTGTGAATGACTGTAGAAAGGATTTCATGATCAATCACTACGTAAGTGACATGCACTGTCCGAGAATCAAACCCAGGTCACCCAAACACACTACCTTTTGAGCTAGCCACAAAAATAAAGAGTGATTTTATTAAACACACTGTAATCTGGTAAATTAAGATGTTTTTATCATTGTATTTTTGTAGGTGTGGAGCAAAGCAGGCAGTAAATCGTGCTTTGATTTATGTGATATTTCTTGTGCCAGTTATCTTGGTGTTGTTTCTGATCATCTGTCTGTTCTACCGATCCTATTTTAATGGTAAGCAAAAATGAGCCGCTTCACGACAAAACCAACATAGTGCGTTTGCGACCAGCATGGATCCAGACCAGCCTGCGCATCCGCACAGTCTGATCAGGATCCATGCTGTTCGCATACAAACCCTATTACAAGTAGAGAAACTGATAGCGAACAGCATGGATCCTGATCAGATTGCGCGAATGGTTTTGTCATGACGTGGCTCAAATAGTTTTATGTTATTGCCATAGACAATACTTTTAGATGAAGATGCCTCCTTATATAATGGGTTAATAGACTGATAGATGCTTGTTACCTGGAGGGAAAAAACAGCCATAAATTTGAAATGATTTGTCATAAAAGTAGCAATATGTAAACAAAGTAGTATTTTGACTTCATTACAAAATACTTAATTACTATAACTGTACTTTTTGCCAAAAAGCAACAGATGAAAAAGATGGTTTAGGTATCCTGCCAATGAGTAACTTTTAGGATACTTTGAAAGAACACTAAAATTAAAAAGCTTTTTATATCTACAAATGAAAGCATTTCTGAGGCATATTGGGCCTGTAACATTATCACACACTTGTTACTATTCAGGTTGAATGTTAGACTATGGCAAGTAAGTTTTTTTTAGAAAAATTTATGATAAAGTGACAACCAGTTTAGCAGAAAATGGTTTTCAGTAAAAGCTAAAAATTTCATCTACTAACTGTGTAAGTAGCTTTATGTGCATCTTATTATACAAAGAGCTATTTTAAGACTTGGGTTTGGAAACTGATGTGATACAATGTACTGACAATAATCAAAGAACCCCCCCCCCCCCCAAACTCTATATTTAATAACTTTAATTATGGTTTCCCTTGACATGAATCATTTCTAAATGCCTTAAACGAAAGATTTTTCTGTTTGTTTTAATATTTATCATACATTATCCATAAACATGGCGCTTTAACCGATATATTTCTCATATTTTACAGTGAAGAGATCCCTTATAAGACATTTTGGACGATATTCAACCATTGAGAGACAGACAATGGATAATATATCCGTTAAATTTATAATAATATGCACTTCCTTCATTGTCTGGTAAGTAAATTATGTTTACAGTTCATGTTGATGAAAAACTAATTTTACTTCATGTTGATGAAAAAACTAATTTTAGTTCATGTTAATAAAAACATAATTTTAGTTCATGTTGATAAAAAAACTATTTTTAGTTCATGTTAACAAATATGTTATTTTAGTTCATGTAAATGAAAAACTATTTTAGTTCATACACAGTTTATACAAAGTTATTTTAGTTTGATTGTGTTTGAAGCTATATAAGCTTATTGAATTATTCTTGAATCTGTTCCTGGAACCAACCAGTAGTAAGCAATTCATTTAAAGTTTCTTGCTCAAGGAAACAACGGCTTGCCCCAGACAATTTTGAACCCTATTTTAGTTCATGTTAATAAAAAACTAATTTTAGTTCAAGTTGATGGAAGAGTGGATTTATTTGAAGGTTATTAACAAATTATTATAATCACATTAGATAGTGAAAAATATTTGCTATGCTGGTTCAATTATCTCCCACAAATTAAACAAGTAGAGATTTTGATGCTAAAGCATCAAGTCGCCGGATAGAAAATGATTGTATTATCATAAATATAAGAAAATATAAGTTTAATTAATGGTTCAAGTATAAAGAAAAGAGGAACAATATGTTGAGTAACTGTTTATTCACAATAAAACATCATATATGAAGCAAACTTGCTTAGCAACATTGTCAAGGAACTGCTATGATTATTAAATATGCAAGTATTGTCTGGCAATATTAATAATATCTGTCATATGTTGCGGTTCGGACCGGAATATCCGTCCCGAGGGGACACGCCCATTGGGCGGTAACGAGGCTTGCCGAGGGACGGATATTCCGTTCCGAACCGCAATCATATGTCAGATATTTTTTCTTGCACATTCTGCCATACTATTTCATATTTAAAATGGTTTATCTCAAGATGACATATGTTCATGGAAATTAAAGTCATTTCATCCATAACTATTTTCTTACAATAGCGTATGAACTTACAACATAAATAACAATGGCGAAATGACGTCATCCTAAGCACATATTTCCCTTGTTTAACGCGGTTCCTTCATAAAATACGCTAAAATGACGTTGTTGTATGGCACGCGACTCATCTGGCACCCCCCATGCCAGACGAAATTTCCGGCATGGTTAAAACTCACGGAAACGCCCGTCTGCTATGCAAGAATGACCTGTTCGGGAGGTGTTTCGTTAGTTTACGTAACTTATTATGATTAATGCTAAAGATTTTTTTGATAGTATAGATCTCGATATTAAATCAATTAATATTGCTCGATGGCCTAGTGGTGGTAAGTATGACGAAGTTATGACCTAGTAGGCCAAGTTCGAATCTTTGAAAATCCCGTTTGCAGTTTTCATAAAACTATTTTTTATTATTTCTTTTAACAATATGAAACATAAGTTAATAAATTGTGTTTCATTTCTAGCATTTTTTATTTCATAATTTTGATTAATTTTGTAAGGTGAGTGATATTCTTGTAATTCTACTTGTAATTCTACCTTATGTATATACCGTTATACCAGACATCGAAATCCGTATTGTATACTTCAGAATCCGATAATCCGCCAAACAATAAACGGTCATCGAATATTTGAAAAAATATATGTTTTAATTATTGCTTGAAACAATGCAATTCTACCGTAAAAGTGGATCTGCATCAAAAAATATTTTTATTCGCTATCGAAAAAATAAATAATTTAGTTGAAATCAATACATCTGTCGTAACGATATAGTTACGACATAGTTAACTTTAAATTGCCTTTTAGTTCGATAAAATATTAACAAAAAGATATTTTATTCCCTGTGGACAGGAGCCCGCAGGGTATTGGTACGCGTTTAATTTTTGAGGCATGGAGGAGCACGTGACCTGTTTTCGGTACATGGAGGAGCATGTGATCTGTAAACCGTACATGATTGGTTAATTGACCTATTCGAAAACCTAGCTAAATACCGTTTCCCGGTACGTTACGGATTTACCTGTAGGGAATCATTGTATACACACCGGTCTCTCGACAGAATGCTAGGGAATTAGTCCGAATTACACCTAATTAAGAACATAACACTATTACGTGATATGTCTAATTTTCTATTAGTATTTTACCGTTTAAGTTGGAAAAACTTGCATGATGTGTTTGACAATTATCAATGTTTCTTTAATATCTATCTGAAATTTTACAAACAATAAATTGTTTATAGTGAAAATCCACAGAATTAAAACATTCTTTGTGGCATCTCCCATAATAGATAGAGATATTTTCTGCGTAAATGTGTGTGTTTACTTTATTTTATTTTTTTTTGCACGGAATTATTCATACAATGGTATTTAATCATTTTTGTGTCGCCTCTACGGAGTAGTGGCGACATATAGGGATCACTTCTCCGTCGTCTGTCCGTCTGTCTGTCCGTCCGTCTGTCCGTCCGTCCGTCACAAAACTTGTCCGGACTACTGCTCATAAACTACTGGTGTAATTTCATCCAAACTTTACAGGAATGATCAGTACCAAGTCTAGTTGTGCATATTGTCAGCATTTTCCAGTTCAATGATTTTTGTCAGAGTTATGGCCCTTTAATAATTTTTAATTTTAAAGTTTGTCCGGACTACTTCTCTTATACCACTTATGCAATTTCAATGAAACTTCACAGGATTGATCTGTAGCTCAAGTCCTTGCGCATATTGCACGGGTTTTCCGGTTGAATGATTTTTGGCCGAGTTATGGCCCTTTGACAAAAAGGTGTTTTTTTCTGTGTGTTGCCAGATACACAAAAGCTTGTCCGGACTACTCCTCATAAACTTCGGGTGCAATTTCATCCAAACTTTACAGGAATGATCAGTACCAAGTCTAGTTGTGCATATTGTCAGCATTTTCCGGTTCAATGATTTTTGTAAGAGTTATGGCCCTTTAATAATTTTTTAATTTTAAAGTTTGTCCGGACTACTTCTCTTATACCACTAATGCAATTTCAATGAAACTTTACAGGATTGATCTGTAGCTCAAGTCCTTGCGCATATTGCACGGGTTTTCCGGTTGAATGATTTTTGGCCGAGTTATGGCCCTTTGATAAAAAGGTGTTTTTTTCTTTGTGTTGCCAGATACACAAAAGCTTGTCCGGACTACTCCTCATAAACTACTGGTGCAATATTTTCCAAACTTTACAGGAATGATCAGTACCAAGTCTAGTTGTGCACTGTCCGTCTGTCTGTCCGTCTGTCACAAAATTTGTCCCAACATGAAATTTGTCATCATGACGCGACACATGTGATTACTGATCGCTCTTGTCTTAAACAGAAATATTGTTTTATTTTCGACAAAGACCAAAGACCTTCTTCTATTGATCGATTATTGTCAACTATATTCCTGATACAAACGTTAATTTTTTTCTATTTTTTCCCCAAACAATGTTGAAAATAGTTAATTGAAATATCTTTAAATCATTATAAATGTTCCCCGCAGGAAACCATTTTACTTGTTAGCTTTCTTTATCATGTATCTAATACGATTCCGGCTCCCTACCGTCATACCGCGCGACGGAAATCGACGGAATATAACGAAGACGACGATTCAATAAATGTGCCTCTTTAGCATAAATCTATTTTGTGATGTTCAACCTAAACTAAACCAGAAAGGGCCAAGTTTAACCCTTTACCAAGAAAAAATTAAAAGGTTTTCAAAACTTATTCTTTAATGTGTAAATTATGAGTATACATGCAGACCTTTCTAATGATATAAAATATGAAACTGATTAATGAAAGATAACTTTGTATGCATCTTATCAGTTACTTTTGTGTCTTATCAGATTATCTGTTACTATTAATAGATTTTATAACAATAACATACAACGTGTAGTCACGTGATTCTTACAAGAGAATAGGGAGAATCTGTTTATAATTAGATAAAATATTGAAACATAATAGGTCTCATAAGATATAAACAACCAAATAATTTAAATGTGTCATTTCAAATATCATTCATGATTTATCAATCATAAAATAGCAACGCTTGACACGTAGAAAAAAAGTAAAAGTATTCCTAAATTCAATGACTGGTCCATAGGGATACGTTATTAATTCATTTCATGAAAATTGTAATGTTGCTTTTTAAGATGTCAATATTTGAATATTTCATTTCATTGAGCAACGTTATTGCATGTTAGAATTTTTTAGATTACCGAAAAACAATTGTGGTCTTTAATTGTTCAGTAATTGATATGCTTTTATTTACAGATTTTAAGGCCTTCTCCTACCATAGATATAATATTAAACTTTTACAAATATAGTCGCCGGTTTCTACCGGCGACTAATAAGAATTTTGATTTTGAAACAGCATTTTCTGTTAGTTTTTTCTGTTCTCTGTCTGTCTGTCCAACTCTGTATCTTATAGCCAGTGGGTCAGGGTTTAATGATACTTTGTGTGAATTTATATATAAATAACGTAATGAGGCACATTAATACCATCAAAATCCAAACGTGGATTTTTTTCATTATGGCCCTTTGTTGCTCTGAAAAAGGTGTATTTAGTTTATGCTAATTAATTTTAGTGTGTTTGTATAGGAAGCTTTATCTCTCAAGTACATTCCAACAAGTACTAAGCAACAAGTTTAAATAATCTTGCTCACAGAAACAATGGCTTTGAAACACTGACAGGGTTTGAACCCACGCAGCCAGCAATACTTAGATTCCTAGGCTGTGTTTACCACTTGGCCATGCCGCCAAAAGCCTATTTTTGCTTGACACTGCTGTTTTGTTTTTTTTTTGTCATTATAAGACTTGTAAAAATATTAGATTGAGCCGCGTCATGACAAAACCAACATAATGGGTTTGCGACCAGCATGGATCCAGACCAGCCTGCGAATCCGCGCAGTCTGATCAGGATCCATGCTGTTCGCTATCAGTTTCTCTACTTGTTATAGAGTATGTAAGCAAACAGCATGGATCCTGATCAGGCTGCTCCGCAAACCCATTATGTTGGTTTTGTCATGACGCGGCTCAATTCAGTATTCTTTGTTTCAGTTGGATTCCAAATTTGATTAATGGAGTAGTGATAAATGTGTCAGAAGATAGGTCAGGGCAGGTCGTTTTTATGTTAATAGTCCTTGAGGTAAGCTACCAATTTACTGTTTATTTTATTTATAATAGAGACAGTAAAGTAAAAATCAGCCTGTTAAACTTGCTTGCTTAAAATCTCTTGTACCTCAGTGCTATTAGTTCAGATTTTAGCGGAATGGAGTATAAATTCTTGTCCTTTATTTTGATAAGAAAGCTGTCCAGCAAGCTTATGGACTGTTAATCTTCTAACAAAGCTGGAAGTAATCTAATGTTCTATTATGGACAGAACTAAAGCCAAACTAAAAACTAATACTGATACTTGCTTAAGGAAATATCCTGATACCTGCTAATATCTGAAACAATTAGAGGGTCACATGAGGTCTTTATTAAGCCCTGTTAAGTTGGCAAGTTGCCAGATGACATTTACAGTGTCATTGTTACTATTTGTACCATGTCATTTAATTGATCATAGTTTTGTTTTACAACATTTACTGTTTTGCATCCATGTCATTGTAGGGGCATCTGTGGCTGAGTGGTTTACATCATTGACTTGAAACCACTTGCCCCTCAACCGGTGGGTTCAAATCCAGATAGGGAGTTCGGATTCTTTCATGTCAGGAAGCTATCCAGCTAGCTTATGGAACATCAGTGGTTTTACTCAGGTGCCCTTTTGAGCCTGAAATAATGCATAATAGGGCACCTGACACCTGAGGGTTTCCTCCACCAGTATAGCTGGAGCATCGCCATATGACCTATACTGTGTTAGTGTGAGATAAAAACTCAATCAAAATGTCATTGAAACTTGAACACCACTTAATGCTACTACAGCAAAATCTCTGCTTAGCAACCACCTTTGCTTAGCAACCACCTTTGTTTAGCAACCACCTTTGCTTAGCAACCACCTTTTAAAGACAAGTATTAAGGTTGTTACTGAGAGGTGCTGCTCTAGTGAGGTTAAATTTATTCCAAAGTCCAAAGTCTAACTTTGGGAAATATCAAAACTTGTTATATTGAGGTGGTTGTTGTACAGAGGGCCACTCTGTTGAGGTTATACTGTATTCTATGATTTATCATTACAGTCTGTGTTGAATCCTTTCCAAGTTCTGATAGACTCTATGGTGATGTTTGGGTGGCCACCAAGAGGGTGTTGCTGTATTTTATTACGTTCTCATCACCATGACAACAGTAACTATGCAAATATCAATAACCTTGGAAGGTCAAGGAGGTCAAGGTCATCTAGAGCCAGTGAGACGGATCCCTTACTCAGCTTTAGCAGGAACCAGCACACAGTGTGATAAGAACAGCAGTGAAGATTGTCAACTTTGACTGTTGTTAAAATGATAATGATGTCACTGTAGTACACATGCCGTAGTTTGGTGCCAAGATTAAGGTTGAATAATCTATTGGGTTTGCTTTAGTTTTTATGGTAACTTCTTTTGATTAGTGTATTTGCAGGTGGGTGGGAAGGGGAGATTTGCTTTGTTGAAAAGGTACCTACCTCTCAACCTATGAATCCTGGGTAAGAATCCTACTGCTTGGTAATTACTATATTTTCTCAAGTGGGATCAGTACTGAATTATTGTTTAACCCTTGTCTTATTAAATTTCTAAAATTGACTTGTCTACTTTACAAGATATGCAGATCTTTTACTGCTGCTATCAGTAGGCTAGTAGTTAGAATGACTTTAAGCAGTCATCAGAATTAAGCTCAGAACATTATGTTTATTCTAGCATGTACAGACCCAAGTAAATACTTAAACATATGCACAATAATTAAAGTGATTTTCATTGTTAAGTTGTGCAGAATTGACTATATATTTCAAGAGATTGACTGTTTGACCAACAATGTTCAGGGTAAAAAATAAGTCTGTCTAAAGCATAAAAAGACTGCTCTACTTTTTTATGAATGGAACGTTACAGGAAAATTCCTATTTTTATGTATTTACAGAAATTTCCTTGGGTCACTTTAGTTATTGATCAGTCATGTGAAATAAAATATAAAACTGAAAAGAATTATGGCAAAATGAAAACTGATTTTTGACTTTCACTTGTTCACTCATTATATGCCCTTGGATGGGCATTATGTCACTTTAAACAAATACATTGTATATGAGCATGATTATATAATGTATTGTTGACTCAAGATTGCCACCAGCTTTGGAAAAAAAAATTAATGGACTTTGTCAGAAAATAAAGACAAAGATAGGTTTTTTATAGAGAATTTTACCTTACGGTATCTATAATAAATTGAATTGAAACAGTTGTTGTAAAGAGATTACTGTTCTACAGAGGGTTACTCTGTGAGGAGATTCTGCATTAGGCATTTAAGATTGGATACAATTGTTCAATGACCTTTTTTACCATATATTGTATATCTATACATTTTAGTGCTTAGTCATTATCAATAAACAATGGGTGTTATCTTGAACTGAAATAGAATCATTAGCTCTTTGTATAATTATAGTCATGGCATTTTTGTATTTCATTTCTTTTTCCTATCTTGTAGAATATTTGTTTTCAGTTGACATTTTAAAGGCCCAGACACTTGGAGGTCAGACTCTATTCCCCGACTTGATCCCCCACTAAAAAACTTGTTTAAGTCTGCAATTGTTACATTATTGAAAATTGAAAGTACATGGAATTTTTTTAAGGAAAACTGAATTTTTATAAATGATTAAAATAGATGCCCCATTTGTGTAAAAATGTAAAAGATTTTTATTGAATGTTTACAGGGCCGGTTCAAGCTATGGGAAAGTGTCTGACCCAGAAGTGTCTGTGTTTAAAGATAGATCTGTTGTTGTCATATATGTATTGTGTTTAACTGCAATTTATTTATAATTTTGTCTTTCATTATTCTTAAGATATTTATAGGGTCACTGTGGTAAATGTTGTTCCGGTTGCTACATGTAACTTCTTATTTAATTAAACCTCATTGTTTACACTCATATGTTTGGTCAAAAGAAAAGTTTCTATGTTTTTGAAATTTTTGAAAAAGAAAATGGGAAGCAATTTCAAGTTATTGCAGAAGTATTTATGGAAAATGGGAAGAAAGCTGGGTATAATAAAAAAGGAAGCATTCTTAAGTAAAAAAACACACACAAAAAAACAGGGAAACTATCTACAGTGCATGCAAGAAAGTCAGTACATGTGAATTATAGAAATGCTTTATAAAGAAAAGGAAAAATGTATGAAAAAGGAAAGGAGTTTCAAGCTATGATTAGGTTTATAAAAAAAAATGGGAAGCAATTTGTAGTAAATTGTTTTGCAAAAGAAAGGGGAAGCAATTTGTAGTAAATTGTTTTGTAAAGAAAGGATAAGGTGATTTGTAGATAAAAATTATTTGGTAAAGAAAAAGGGTAGTAAATTGATTTGTACATAGAAAAAAGAAGAAATCTAGTGATATTGCTTGAAAAAACAAATAAGTTTTTTTTTTAAATAATGGGAAGTAATCTTTAGTAGTCATACTGTTAGTAAGGTTTGACAGAGTTGTGTCCCTTATATTGAGCAGTAACTTTTATGCAGATTTTTGAAATGAAACATATTGTTTGTGATAGAAAATAAATGTGCTAAATTATGTTTAATGTTGTTGATGACATATGTGTATATTGTATTATTTATTTTATATTTTGTTGTATTTTTAGCTATTGCACAATTTATTTATAATTTTGCTTTACCTTGTTTATGATTATGCTGTTTTAAAGTGTTAATATTTTTATGGCATTTTTACTTGCATCATAGCAATGTTTTTTTTATAACTTTTAAGTTATATATATTAAGGTGCTTTTTAAGTTGTTTAAACTGTAGTGTCACATATAATCCAATCAAGCAAGCTGAAATTATGACATCAAAATAAAACTATGACATAGTGTTATGTCATTTGATCATTCATTTAAATGAGCCGTGTCACGGCAAAACCAACATAATGGGTTTGCGACCAGCATGGATCCAGACCAGCCTGCGCATCCGCGCAGTCTGATCAGGATCCATGCTGTTCGCTATCAGTTTCTCTACTTGTTATAGGGTTTGTAAGCGAACAGCATGTATCCTGACCAGACTGCGCGGATGCACAGGCTGGTCTGGATCCATGCTGGTCACAAACCCATTATGTTGGTTTTGTCGTGACTCTGCACAAATGATGTTTATACAAATTACAATTAAAGGATTGTTTAGTGCAGTGAGGCATTCAAATTGAGGCATAATTTGTCTTTAATTCCTAGAATCCAATTAGTCCCAGAATGGAATTATTTATTATCTACAACTTAGTAGGCAATGCTAATTTATATAAGAAATTTACATAGATAGTATAAAGTTAAGATGAAAATTAAATGAACATTTTCATAAAGTCTTATTCGCAAAGATCCTATAATCTAACAAATATAGTTCCTTTGAGTATAGAAATTGTTTGTTCAAAAAAAGTTTACTAAAATTGAAAAACGCACCATGCATGTGACCTGTTATTGTTTAAATACATGTGTAAGGTGAAGGCCACTTGAAGGTCCAAAATAGTATGTCATGTCATATGTCACAATTTTTTGTGCTTTATTTTAGAAAAAAAAACTTTTGAAAGATTTTTGTGTAATATACATGTACAGTGCTTTTAAAAAACAACGTCAGTTTTTGGTTTCATCTACGAACATTTTCATCTACGAACATTATGTTTAAATTGATTGCAATGTACAACAACTGCATGGAATTCATTGGCGGGAAAATTGCTTTTTTGGCACTTTCCTTTTGTTTTGTAGCTTGTCTTTTGCCATGACATGCTTGGCTATATTCTTAAGGTTTCTTAGTTTCTTTCACTTGCACACATCTTGCCTTGAACAAGAGCTTCATTATGACATTTTGTTATATGTTTTATTAACACCTTGAAAATATCCATGACCTTGAAGTTTAATAATATTTAATTGCTAATATATACATGAAATACACTTAAAGGCAACATGCGTTTGAAATAATAAATAGCAAACGGGTTGAGCCCAAGTTCTTGCAACATTACCAATAATCATTACAAAGGTAATACATATTAATGGTAACTGAAGTGGAAAGAATTAAAGAGTTACATGTACATGTGAAATTGGCAACAGACATTTTGTTGGGGTGGGTAGGGGCAAAAAGGGTTGTTTTAGTAGATCTGAGTTGTTTTTCTTTTTTACTGTATTCTTATTGTTGTTTTATTATACGTTTTGTACAAGAAATATCTATCTATTTATAACACAACAATTTTTGTTATTCTTTTTTCCATGTACATGTATATCAAACATGTGCCAGGTGGGAATTGGTAATATGATTTTAATTATTTTGAATTTAGAATTTGATAGAAATTTATTAAAATTCAGGGTCTTTTAAACAGAATGTTTGAAATATCCTTTATAAAATCATCAAGTTTTATTTAAGTTCAAACAGTGGCACTGTTTATAGTTTAAGTGCAGATGTAGAATTCAATGATGTTTGTGTTAAAGGACCAATACAAACAATCAATGCAATACAAATGAACATTCAATCGGTCAAAAGACAAATTTGTGCATGACTTCTGAATATAAAATACTATAACGTGACTAAAGCTTAGCACGTTGCATCTCCTAGTCTGTATCATTGAGATGTTTGAATCTTGGGACCCACCGAAACGTCTTAATGATACAGACTGTGCGTCTCATTACTTTGTTTTTACTTTTCCTGTTTAAAGGGACTCCACTGAGGTTTAAAAGCCTAAAACATAACATTTGAATTTCTTACATAAATGAGCTGGGGCACTTTAAACAGAAATTTATGCAAAGATATACTTTTAAATAAATTGAAAATCGTCTTTTTTATGCGTTTAAACGCTTTTCATTTTGGGTCATTTTTTACAATTTGAATAATTATCCTGGAAAAAAGAAGTGAGCGAATGATCTTAAATTTTGCACAAAGATTAGTGGTCTAAGCGTACATCAACTGGTACATTTATCTTGAAAAAATATTTTCAGTCCCATCGTGTCAAAAAACCTCAGTGGAGTCCCTTTAAGAGGTAATATTTATTTCGTACAGTCCATTGTATTTTAAGTGTCAGATCTACACTAACATACAGCAGCAGGACAATGTTCCTTTTTAGGCATTCTTTCCAGTTTATTTCTAAACTGTGGGCTGTTGCACTTTATAATTTTTTCCATGAAATCTCTTCAGTTTACAGTAGGCTGTTCCAAAGAAGTCCTAATTCAAAATATCAAGCAAACGATTGGATAATTGATAGATCTTTACTCTTACCTGTTATATGAATAAACAATAGGTAAATCTTAAATATTCGTAGACAAATACATTGAGGTAAAATTCTTTTTGTAATCTTCGTGACTATCAGCTCCCTGATTTAATCAATTAAACTGATAATTCAATATAGAAAAATAATTGTCCTGTAAGGATCCTGGGACAATTGGTCCCAGATGGGTCTATGCATGGAGTAATTTTGATCATGCTTGGAGACGAATGTTATTGAAATATCCTTTAGATATGCATGCGATGAAGCTATCTAGCTAGCTTACAGGAGCTAGTTAGTTCTAGGTGCCAACGCTTGTCTAAAATAACTCACGAATGGTTCAGGTGTTCTTTAACTAGGAAAGATGGAATGTCATAATATGCAGGGGTAGGGCTTAAAACATGTAGCTGGGTGCTGTAAGTGGAGAAAAAAGGTGTCGCGACTAATGGCGGCAATTTACTTGTAAATATTCAGGAGTTTGGTTTAGATATAAACATGTATGTAGATTTTCTTGGAATATTTGTATGTAACGTATATGACCAGTAGCTGACCGGATGTGTCTGCTAATTGTAGGTACTACTTGTATTAGAAAGACGGAAGAAAGCAATTCAAAATTTTGAGAACAGAGAGAAAAACAAATCTGAGTTATATTATATATTGGTATGTAACATACAAGCACGAAAGTTTTGAGTATGCCAGTTCTCGGTGTCAAAATTTTTCACCAGGTGGGAATATCGTCGGATTTTCGCAGGGATTCAATGCAATATTATTTTTTTTATAGAAAAATGGCAATTAACAATATCCAATTAACAATGTTAAAATAATATAACAGTTTAAATAAAACAGATTTTTAATTTTTTTATATATTTTATAATATGGATATTATATTGCACGAATAACAAGATAAAACATATTTTAGGTCAATCCAATGCGACTAGACCTTTTTGTTCAGATCTAAGTTGTACATCATATCACTGCTCCAGTGACACTCCTGCCGAAACTGCAGCCACAATTTTCTAACAATTAAAAATATGCGAATACAGGATGCGTTTTGTGGTACGTGATCTCAAACCACCTCTGGCCTATATTTCCCCGCCAGTTAAGATTTCAATCGTGCGATTTAGAGCCTATCATGTAGCATTGACGTAATTTGCACGCGCTCCCTTTTGTATATCAATGACTAGGTTGTATGTCCACGGTGCGGAATGTCGATCAGAATAGAAAAAAACTAATGCTACTTTAATGAATACTCTCGTGCACTCTATAGCGAGCATCTTGTTTTAATAACAGCTACTTTTACTGAAGCAACTTCACTTTCAGATGTTGCTGTTGATAGGGCCTATTTTGAAGTCCGTTCTCCCGGATTAAAATGGAAAAAAAACAACAAAAAACCTTACCGTGGCCTTGGATAGTTTACTAGAGTACTTTCCCGATAAACTTTGTCTAAATCTGATTAAATCTGGAAAAAATGTTCTATCTGTCATTTTGATACTTAAGTATTTTTATTCTCTGTGTTTGTTAATATCGAGTTTTTCGTACATATATACATGAAGCTATAATACTATTAAACCAATAAGCACTGAATAACTGTAAAAATGAGACTAATTATTACACGTATTCGTAATGAGTTTTGAAATAGCGTGATAAGTTCCTTTGAGAGCTCTCCAGACATCTAATAATTAAATGTACTAGTATGTAAACTTATCCGATTTTATTTAAGAGTACATTAACGATGACTTACCTTTCATTGCACTTTTAAAGTAACTTGTAGTTCAAGTGGAATAAGACCGTTCTGAGTAGCATGTTAATAATTAAGTTTTTTTTCATAATCATGGTCTTGTTATTGGGGTGAAGACTATCATATAAGCCTGAGGCAAAAGACCGAAGGCTTATATGAAAGTCTAAAGCCCAATAACAAGACCATTGTGAAAACACTTAATTATTGACAATTTTATTAATTTACTACATATAATCTAAAGAAATTAAGTACTTAGTGAACAAAAAAGAACTAATGTGAAATTCCGTTGTTGTGAGGTATTGCAAATGAATTTCTTGTTTTAAAAATATCTCGGAATCCTTCCTTGCAGCAATTCAAAATAGCGACTTTGTTTCAATGAAAAAAAATTGATTCATAATGGCCGAGCTGGAGAGCCAATCAAAATTCTCCAGTCACATAAAAGCCGAGTTGAACTTTACATTTGAAGTGAAAACGTGTCTAATATTGAAAAGTTAATTAATATTAGACCTTAATAAGAAATGTTGTGTATGACCATTGAATTAACTTTTAATAAAGAAAAAAATTGTTGATAATAATATCAGGAACATCTTTTTATCAGAAATAGTATGAACTTAAATTTAGTGCAGAATATTATTTTCAAATTAGCTCACCTGAGCATACAATTCTCAGAGGTGAACTTTTGTGATGGCAGTGTGTTCGTCGTTCGTCGTTATCCACTATTTCATTAAACATCATCTCCTGTTAAAACCCTCGGTGGATTTTGACCAAACTTCATAGGAATTAACCTTTTATTTATCTCTACAAAAGGCCTGAATATAGTTCAAGTCTGGTGAATAAGTAAGTTACAGGAGCTAAAAGTAATCTTTAAAAATTAAAAAAAATATAATCCTTTACTCAGAAATTGCAATGCCTAACTTCATCTTGTAATTATCTACAAAAGTTATATCAAGTATATCTCTGGTGTCAAAATTAGTTTTGTTCCAGAGGTCCTTTACAAAAGAAAAATAAATAACATCCCTGGGGTCAAACAAGCTACATGTACAACCCCGGTGTCTCTTAGTTTATATAGACTTACATAGTAAAACACATTTAAATCTTCTAATGTGAAATTGCAATGCCCAAAGTTTTGATATTAGACATGTAGTTTTTCCTGCATGGCGGACATCTACAAAAGTTTTTTTTTTTTTTTCTTTCTTTTTTTTTTTTTTTTTTTTTTTTTTAAATGCAGCCTAGGTCTAAAATAACAGTCGCATGTGACCTTATTACTGCAGCTTCATCAAATTAGTATAGCCTTTCAGCAATTATGTATCTCGGGTGAGCGATCAAAGGCCATCAAAGCCCTCTTGTTAATTAACACTGCACGACCTCGGCAATAAGGAAACAGAAACGTTATTGAATTCTTCTGCTTTCTTTTATTTCCTTAAGTAATACTTAATGGTATTCATTCTGTATTTTATGATTTTAATTATCATTGAAAATAATGTCGTGTTTGTCGTCTTGATTATCTGGTGTTTAAGTAAAGGAATAAAAAAAAAATGTGTACTTATTAATCTTGTAATATGAAGACGATGCCCCAATGTTGCTGCTCCAAGTGTAACACAAGTACTGTTCTGATGGCCCCTAAACTTGTAGAACGGTATAGCAGTTAACTTTAAAATGTATACTTACGTTACAGTTCTCGAATAGATGAGCCGTGTCACGACAAAACCAACATATTGCGTTTGCGACCAGCATGGATCCAGACCCGCGCAGTCTGATCAGGATCCATATTGTTCGCTTACCAACTCTATTACAAATAAATAAACTGATAGCGAACAACATGGATCCTGGTCAGACTGCGCGGATGCACAGGCTGGTCTGGATCCATGCTGGTCGCAAACGCACTATGTTGGTTTTGTCGTGACACGGCTCGGATTTATTTTCAAGAAAATCCTTCTGGAATATTTTCAGGAAAATCCTTATTTGGATAAATTTATAT